GAAATTTCTGTAGTTTTTCTTTTCAAGTTCACTGATTTGTTCCTTTTCACCACAATTCTGCAGTTGAGCTCAACTATTGTGTTATTTTAATTTTGGTTATTGTATTTTTTCAGTTCTAATATTTCCATTTGTTTTTTCTCTCTGTCTTCTGTTTCTTTGCTGAGACTTTTTATTTTTGCATTTGTTTCAGATGTGCTTGCTATTGCTCACTGAAGCACTTTTGTGGTGGCTGCTTTAAGATCTTTGTGGGATCATTTCAACAACCTGTCATCTTGGCGTTGGCATCTATGGATTGTCTCTTTCATTCAAGGTGAATTCTTCTGGAACTTGATATTATTAGTGATTTTTGATTGAAACCTGGATGATTTGAGTATTATATTAAGAGACTCTGGACCTGGATTTAAGCCTCTGGCTGAGCTGCCTCCTGACACCACTGAGGCAGGGTGGGTGGGGGGAGTTCAGGTTCCCAGCTTGGCCCCCAGTGACACCTCCTCGCTGCTGGGTGGGCGGGCACCCTGCCCTCCAGGCCGTGACGACAGCACCTCGGCTGGGAGGCAGGGAGCACCTGCTATTGCTCCCTGTGTGGCCTCCAGTGACAGCATGTGGTGGAGGGGCTAGTTACTGCCTGACGAGGACAAAGGTCCTGGCCCCCACTCGGCTCATCTGACCCCACCTGGCAGGGGCTCGGGCACTTCATTACCTGGCCAGGGGACGTCTAGGGTTCCCTGTCAGCCTTTATGGTGTGGGTAAGGATGTGGCCACCATTTTTTGTGTGGTGTTTGGCTGGAGCAGCTGGTTATTGTCTAAAATTTCACCCCTATTTTGCAGAATTGGAGATGACCTTGTCCCAGGTCTCACAGCTGGGAGGAGCAGAGCTGTGCTGATGGCATCTGGCACCACACCACTATGCAAGCTCCCAGAGGAGGGGCGGCTCCCGCAGCTGCTGGATGGGAGGCCTGCAGGGATTTGCACCCAGGCAGGCCAAGAGGCCAAAGACAAGCAAGAACAACCTGCCAGCTCCCTGCTGAAAACCCTCTTCGGGCTCCTGTGTCCTCCAGGAGGAAGTCCCACCTGCTCAGCCTGGCATCCCCTCTCAGCCTCTCCTGCACTTAGAATGGAGCCCACGCCCCAGTCTGCAAGGTTTGCAGACCTTGTACCTTTCTGGCTCACTCAGCTCCATCTCACTTATCTTCTTCCTCCTTGCTGGAAAGTTCAAGCTCATTCCTGCCACTGGGCCCCTGCTCTGCCCTTCTTGCCCTGGATAGCTGTTAGCAAGCCTGGCTTCTCCTTGTTGGCTGCCTCCAGAGAGAGGCCCCTACCCTACATTTGTGTGATGCCTCCCACCAGCCCTGGGCACTCTTGTTCCTGTCACCCGCTTTATAGTCCCCATAGCCTGCATCCCAGGATGGGTCATCTTGTCTCTGCCCAGGCTCAGTAAGCAGCTGCTGTGAGAACAAGTGGACGTGTGCACAGGGCTGGCTGGCTCCAGCCTCCTGGACACTTCTGGGTGCCGTCTTCTGGTGTCTAGAGCAGGCCAGCAGGGGCCCCTGTCCTGGGAGAGTGTCTGCACAGGGCCAGAGGCCAGGCTTGTTGGTAGGTAGGCCCAGTGAAGCCCAAGAACTAAGGAAGCTTCAGAAACTCCCTGCTGAGTGGGCACCATCTGTCCCTCCCTGATGCAGCAGGGACCTTGCCCTCCTGGGAGGAACCAGCTGGGCCCTCCACACACATATTAGTCCCACCCCTGCCCCTAGACTCCCTCTCTGGAATAGGTGGGCCTTGGCCTGGGAGTGCAGGGTAAGACCAAGGGCTGGCTCCTTATCCAGCTCTCTGTGTGCCTGGCCATGTGTCCTGTCCTCTCTGGCCTCCACTTGCTGCCTTCTAAAGTGAGGCTTGAAGTCCAGATGTTTCCACAGTCCTCCAGGCACACACCTTACTGTGAGAAGCATCCTCAAGAAGTCTGTGGCCACCAGCACCCAGCAGCTGGGCACCAATAACTGCTCATTAAAATGGAGCCACATGGTTTAGGGGACCTGTCCTGGAGAGAAGTCCAGACACCTGGGCTCTTCTACTGGTGGTGTCTGCCCCCAGGGACTAGGTGCTCACAGGGTTGGGAATTGGTTAGGGAGGTGCTTCGTGTGTGTGTGTGTGTGTGTCCCTCTCCTGCTCCTAGCGACGTTGGCCCTTACTCAGCAATCTTCCCCAGGGTGGCAGGATCCTGCTACAGCCTCTGGAGCTGGAGCAGAGCCTGGCATGCAGATGGTGTGTGTGCAGACACGTGTGGACGGAGCAACACATGGGTAAAGATACACTGGTGAGGGATTATGATTGCTATTTAAAGCTTCCTTGGTGATTACTTCAGAGTTCATGATTGTTATTTGAAGTTGCATATCTGTGACCATCTTGCTATCACACACATGCTTGGAAAAGGAAGAAGGAGTGCAGCAGCTCAGCACTCACAAGGGACATGATGCCACACGCACTGCTCAGGGAAAAAGGAGGAGATCGCGCCAGCCGCATCTGTGAGCGAGTGATGCCAGGAGTGGCCAGGGCACAGCGCAGGCCGCTCACCTGGCTGCTGCCCCCGGCCCAGTTCCTAACACACACAGCTGGCCGCTGCCCACGCCGCACTCGCAGCTTGGAGCCTCCTCAGCCAACAGGGACGTGAGGGCGGGAAAATGTCACTTCTCGTTTCCTCTGACCAGCTCAAGAAGAAACAGAGCTCAGTTTTCTGAGAGGCTCGTAATTAAATGAATTAAAATGTTTTCCTTCGTGGTGACTTTGCCAACTCCTGTCCACCTCTCCCTGGCTCCATTCCCAGTGAGCAGCAGAGCCTGGGAGGACGCAGGATGACAAGCTGGCTCCGAGGGGTGAGCAGTGCACCCCCAGAGCAATTAGCTTGTGCATCCTCATTTTGGGGAGGGATTTATGGCCAGCTCTTGGAGCATTCCAGCCCAGACCTCTGCGGCCCAGATCCGTCTGCCAGGGAAGTTCCCGGAAGCAGAGGCTCAGTATTAATTCCGGTTACAGTCAGATGAGCCCATTCATAAGGGCTGCCATTGACAGGCGCCCCTCCTGCCGCCCTGCCTGCCCTGAGCCACCAGTGCTGCCGCCAGGCTCCAAGAGGGAGGGACCCGCACCCACCGGCTCAGTCCCAGCTTTCCCGCACGCTGAGGGACAGGCTGTGCTGGGACGGGGCGGAGCGCGAAGGAGCCGGGAGGCGGCTTGTGGAGGAACGTCTTCAGTCCGGGCACCGTCCTCACCACCTCCACACTCTTCTGGAAGGGTGGGTTGTGCAGGCACTGCCTGTGGTCTGAGGGTTCCCAGGCCTGGACCCACCCTTTGACCTGGTCTCTGAAATAATCCCTCCTGTCCTACAGCTGGAGCCCAAGTCCTTGCTGGGGCGGAAGGCGTTGTTGGCATAACCCCACAGGGGCCCAGGAGGCGGCGCTGGGGCCTGGGCCTCGCTGGCTGGGTGGCGGCTCTCTGGCCATCATGTCCCTGCTTGACCTGTGGCCGCAGCTCCTGGGGCTCCTGTGTGGGCAAGGCTGCCACTGACCTCCACATCCCCATCTGCTCCCAGCACCAGGACCCCAAGGACTAAATACAAACCCGAAGAAGCAATTACCAGGGTATTGATTACGGATTAGGCTGACAACATTTCTAATTACATTAAAGATGCGTATCCACTGCACCAGCCTGTTAATGGCTTGCATGAGGTATTAAGGCTGCTAATTAGGAAAAACAGCAGGTTTATCACCAGCTGTAATTACAGAGTCCCTGGAGAAGGGAGATAGACTTCCCCTCCATCGCCCGGGCTTTCCAAGGTCCCTTGCAGCAGAGGCTCGGCGGGCTGTGACCCTCACCGCAGCCTCAAATTTCCTTCCATCTGACAGATGCTCCCTGAGCACCTACTGCCCACCATGAGGAGGCCGAGGAGGGTGAGATGGGGTGAATAGCCACAGGGCGCTGGGAAGGAGATGCCGGCCTGTGCCCACTGGGATGAGGGCAGTCCCGAGACTTCAGGACAATCTGAGAAGCATCAAGTCCCTCCCGAGAGGAGCAGGAGGTTCTTACAAAGCATGTGCTCTGGACCTCTTCCTTCACAGGCGCACGGAGGCAGGGCAAGCACCTGGCCAGCTGGCCAGCAGTGAAGGACCAGCTCCGGACCCAGCCAGCCAGTCCATGGTGACCAGGACAGCCCTTGGCACACTGCCCACCTCCCTCCATGGCAGCAGTGGTTAGAGGCTGGGCCTCCTCCTCTGGGAGAGGGGGCAGAGGCGTGCCGGGCCCCTCCACCTATGGGGTTTTCTCTTGTTTTCCCCCTGCCTTCTCCTTCCCGTCTACCCTCCCTGTGCATTACTGGCCTTTGCTCTCTGCTCAGTCCCCCAGAGCCTCCCAGCCTTCCGCCGACCGGCTGGAAGGCCCCTCTGTGCCCGCGGAGGGGCCTCTCGGCTGCCGTGGTGGAGGCTGCAGCCCCTCCTGCCCCAGACCACAAGCTCAGCAGCGACTGGACAGAGCTGCCTGGATGTAAGGCAGGGACCAAGCATAGTCGCAGTTATTTGTTTGCTTTTTCAAAATTTATGGGCTATTTATTTTTTATATTATAGGATGCCATTTTTGCATAGAATCTTTCCCTCCTATTTCCTTTTCGTTTACTATACAGACCTGCCTCAACCTGACTCGGTTACGTACAGATAAATATTGCAAACTGAAAGAGCATATAATCCACCTAACCTACTGAACATCGTGGCTGGGCCTCCCCTACGTCAACGTGCTCAGAACAGCGTTTGCCCGGCTGGCAGGGTCACCTGGCGACACAGTGCGCTGCAGAGGGTCGCTGTCCGTTGGGCCATGGCCGTGTGGCTGCGGCTCGCTATGTTGCCCGCCTCCTCAGCGCACCGCACGTCCCAGGAGGGACCCAAGGTCATGAAGTCGGTCGAAAAAATCTAAGTTGAAAGACTCATAAGCTGGGGACCATCTGTATTTTAATTACTCAAGGAATACATGGCTACATTTTTGGTTAAGAACATAGACCTTTTTATTAAGTCAAATCCCTCTTTGCCACCATCTACAACCCCAGAGGAGGCACAATTCTGTGTGCCTGCGTCTGCACGTTTGCACCCACAGACATGACCACTGAATCCTGCGCATCACCCCTGCGTCGTCAGCTGATGTCCATGCGGGCTCGCCACCTGCCAGGTGCTGGGTCAGAGAGCAGGAGTGGGTAGCAGCTGTACGTGCTGTGTGTGGTCACCTGCCACGTCGCAGGGAGGACCACAGCTGCCCCTGAGGGTGAGGGCTGCCCTGGGACACAGCCTCAAGGCCGGCTCAGGTGGTGGGGAGGGAGGAGTGGAGTGAAGGCCCCTGCCAGTCCTGAGGTCTGGGGGCGAGAGGACAGAGGGCCAGGGCGGTGGGCTGACGCCAGGGCAGGAAGCTAAGGCAGGGCCATGCCAGGGAGAGTTTGAAGGCTGGGGAGGAGTTTTTGTCTTTATACTTTATTTCCTTGTCTTGTGTGCAAGGAACATTTTCACCAGACTTGCAGATCACCCATGCCCACCTTGGTTGCAGCAGCATGCTGCGATGCATGGGAGTGCCCACGCTCACGCACACACACGCACGCACACGCACGTGTGCACACACAACACAGGCACATGCACAGCATAGTTTCTTTTTGCCATTTTCCTACAGATGGTATTTTAGATTGCTTCCAGACCTTTTGGCTTTCAGGGTGACAGCCAGAGCTGCAGGCCTGTGACCTGGGGGAGCCTGCAGGTGGACCCTGAGGAACAAAGTGCTGGCTCCTGGGTGTGCACACCACACAGCAGTAAGCGCTGCCTTGCGGCCCCAGGGTGTCTGCCTTTTACACACCTCTGCGGTGCAGAGCTCACCTGCTCCCTGCTCCCTCACTCTACCTGGCTGCTATCAAACTCAAAACATCTGCCGGCTTGACGGATGCGAGGCGTTGTCCCAGGCCTGGCTCAGGCCCCCTTGGCCGAGGCGTGGACAGCTCACACACCCGCCCACCTCCGTCTCAGCCCCTTGGCCTGTGTCTCACATGTGGTCTTCTAGCCATCGGCGGGACTTGTTTATATTTCCTGGCCAATTTTTCTGCTATGCATATCACATAGCAAACGTTTCTCCCGTTGGTAGAAAGTCTTTCAAACTTGTTTGTGCTAACTTTTGTCATATGGAAAATTTAGTTTTGGTGAAGCCAAATTTATTGCTATTTTCATTTATTGCTTTTTTGTGTCTTAAGAATATTTTAACATAGATTTATAAACTTATCCTCCTATTTTTTACTCAAAGACTTAAATAAAGGCAATTGTGGATTTCGCATGTAGGAATTAATCCACCCAAAATGTATTTTTATGAAGGATATAAGTAGGGCTGGAATGTAACATTTTCCAAGAGGATCGTCAGTGGATGATGCCGTGGGTTAGGAAGCCAGTTTGGAGCTCCTTCAGCGCCCCTGCAGGGTGCTCCCGCTGTGAGTGGGTGGCCGGTGGGCTCTCAGAACCCTGAGCTACAGTCCTGATGACACTACTTGCTAGGTATGGGCAATTATGTCCCCTCTGTGGGCCATGGTTTTTCCATCTGTAAAATGGGAACAACAATTGCTGTCCCCATCCCCAAGTACACACAGGACTGGCGTGGGGGAGCAGCACAGGGAAGATGTAAAAGTTCCCTCTGCCGACAGTGCCAGTGCTGTGATGTGCCCACACTCGAGGCTGGGGTGGGGCAGCAATGGCAGCCCCGCCAGCACCTGCTTCGTTGTCGTGTCCCAGGTATCCCTAGGTGCAGGTCGGGTGGAATTTTAGAAAGCCCCGTGCCTCCCCCCGATTTCTACAAGTCCTCAAGAGGCATGTATTCTCCTGGTCACCTTTGATCTGAAGCTCCTCTTGTCACCAGACGACTTCATGGAGCCATTTCACCACAAGCACCTCATACTTCTTTAGAGAGTGCTGTCACTCTTCCCAGCCCCTGCTCGGCTTCAGCTTCCAACTCACCACCACTGCACGTCCACACCCATCAAGGTTCTCCTCCAAAGGGCAACAGAGATTAGCAGAGACCTTAGGGTTCCTTTTGATGGCTGTTGTTCTCCTTGGAAGGTAGCTGTGATTCCTGAGGCATCTCTCCCTCTTTACATAGAGATTGCAATAGTCTTCATGTCTCTTGGTGGGACCACTGGACCAGTGAGATGCTATGGGAAGAGTGGAGGGAATAACAGCCAGCCCGTGTGTGACCCAGCCCCAGATGGCCAACGTGGGGATTTATAGGTGGAAGGAGAGGGCACAGGGGAATTAAAACTCCCCCTCAACTCTTTTCTGCAAAGTGCAAGGTCTGCAAGAAAACATTACTTATTTACTTATTCATTTGCTGAATCATTCATTCTACAGGTGGGGTGTGGGGTGGGATGCAGGAGGCGCCGGGGGGCAGACACAGCCCCCACCCCAGGATGCTGTGGCCTAGTCAGGGAGAACAAGTTTAGACTCAAAGAGCAGCAGAGCCGGGCGGACCCGCTGGACACGCACACACACACACACACACATACACACACACACACACACACACGCGGGCCCGAGCTCCTTGCTGTCCTCTCTCCCGGGTGCCCACACGTCCACACCCTACAGGTGTTCTCTGGCAAAAGATTGATAGAAGTAGCATTTTTGAGCTAAAACTTATTCTTAAAAAGAAATACAAGCTCTCCTGACTGCTGGGAACTCCTCCTCAGCCCTCACTAACTCTGGCTGAAGCTCCTGCTTCCCTCCCCCGCCTCCCTAGTCTGGGTGCAGACAGAGCAACCACAGTTACTGGAATGACATCAAGAAGTAGCAGCTTCTGGTGGCCATTCAGGACCAGGCCAGGTGGAGGGCAGACTTAACAGCACACGAGTGAGCCCCAGCCAGAAGGGCCTCTCCTACCTCAGCTCTGCGGAGAAGGGATGGGGTCCACACAGCTGCAGAGGCCCCAGGAGACCACACGGATCTGGGTCCAAGAAATGGTTTGGTTACGAGGGCCAAGGGGGACATGGTGGGTATAGAAGGGGATATGGCAGAGACTGAGAGAAGGCCCTACACACCCGGCCTGGCCATACCTCCAGGCCCAGGGCTCTGAGGGGGCCACCTGGGTGACAGCTCCCCCAGGCAAGGGGTGCCCCACCTGGTCTGTCAGTGGGGACTCAAGACATGTCAGTGGAGTGAGAGGTAGAACTTTCCTACAGTGCACACTGTGAGAGCCAGCTCTGAATTTGGAAGTCCTCATTTCTCACGTGTGTGTGTGTGTGTGTGTGTGTGTGTGTTGCCTATGAGCGTGTCTTCCGTCCTGAGCATGCAAAGAAGGACAATCTAACTTCATCTCACATGCATTGACCATCTTGTTAAATATGGGGAACGACGGTGCCGGACCGTGGTTAAGTGCAATGTGGACTCAGTCCCCAGGCAACACGGCCGTCTTAGGGACTAGCCCACAGCACCCGAGGCACTGCTCTCCCTTCCCGCACGAGTGGTGCGATGCTGGGGGGCACACTGGGCACGGGGTGACAGGGTCCGGCTCGCTCTGCCGCCACCTTCCCCCATTCCCACCTGCCCTGCCATAGGCCAGGACCCAAGTCTCACTCCTCCTGTCCTTGCACCTAAACAGGCCTAGTATGCCCAGGAGGTGCTCAGTGAATGCCCGTCGAGGACTGGATCTGAGGAGAACAGGCAGCAGCAGCACGCGCCGGCGGCACCAGCTGAGACCCCAGCACTGCACGGAGTGTCTGATAGTCTCTTCACAGAGGTGGGGGGGGGAAGGAAGCCAGAAAGCAGAGAGGCCTGAAGGGACATTGGCAGGGGGGGCTGTTCCCTGGAGATGGGGCTTGACAGAAGCCATGCCACCCTCATGGAAACCTGAGGGAAGGACTTGGGACAAGAAATGCTACTGGGTGGCTCTCTGCTTCCTGCTGGGGCTCCTACTGCCTGAGCCCAGTGGGGGCAGAGGTCAGGGAGCCCGCCCTGGCGGGGCGTGTGGCGTCCTGCATCCTGCTCTGCCGCAGAGCTGGGCTCCTCGGCCCTGCGCCCCCTTGCAGCACAGGCTCCCCAGCTTTCCCGAGCTCCTGCCCCTGAGATGCCACTTCACTAGGCCCTGCCTCAGGTGCCACGGGTGTCTACCAAGACCTGACTGGTCCCCTCCATGCTTGCTGCACGTTGGGGTCTCTTGAGTTCCCAATCAGGTCTCCTTGGGGCTGCCCACCAGCCCCACCCAGGCGGCAGTGGGGTCTGGGGCACGTACCTGGACATTTGGACAGGTGCAGAGAGGAGGAAATGGAATCCCACTCCTGTTTCCTCTAAAGCTGGTGATGTCCTGCAGGTGGAGGGTGTGAGAAGTTTCAAGAGAGCCGGGCGCGGTGGCTCACGCCTGTAATCCCAGCACTCCGGGAGGCCGAGGCGGGCGGATTGCTCGAGGTCAGGAGTTTGAAACCAGCCTGAGCAAGAGTGAGACCCATCTCTACTATAAATAGAAAGAAATTAATTGGCCAACTAATATATATATACAAAGAATTAGCCAGGCAGGCTGGCCTTTCAGCAGGCAGGCGACCCCGCCCCGCCCCCGGACTCCCGGCCGCCCGCCCGCAACCTGTTTCTAGCCTGTCGCCTCCACACGGCCCTCCACGCAGGGATCGCCAAAATGAAAGACCCGGCGCACCTCCCAGCCAGAAACCATCTCGCTCCGCCTGCCCGGGCCGAGCAGCGGCGCGCGCCCCAGGCCAGACCCAGGCTGCGCGGGAGCCCAGGGCGTGGCCTCCCAGCCGGCCGCGCCGCGCACCCGGCCCTCCGCGCTGCTCTTCCTTCCGGCAGCCCCGCCGCTGCCCAGCTCCCCCGCGCAGTAGCTTTCCCGCCATCCTCCGGTCCCCTCCCCTGAGATGTCACCGAGGCCCTGACCTCCCTTTTCCTGAGGCCCGACTGATCACCTCCACGCCGCCTGCACAGAGGGACCCGGATCACGGTCCCTGCGTGTCGGGGCCGCAGGGAGCTGACTGCAGAGCGCACGCTCCCTGCCCGGAGCACGCGTCCTTCTGAACGGAAAGCCCCTCGTGCAAACAACGGTGCAGCGGGGCGAGCCTGCGGGCGTCGCTCGGCTGGGGTGCAGATGGCGCGCCAAGACCCCGCTATTCCGGGGCACGACCGCCAAGAGCAGTGTGCGAGCATGGGCGGCAACTGTGCGGGACGCGCGGACTGTGAACAAAGGCGGGCCAGGGTGGGGCTCCTCCCAGGGTGCGTGGCTAAGTGGCACCCGCCGACCTAGGGGAGCGGGCGCAGCTTTCCCAGACCCTGCCCACAGCCCCCGCCCGCCCGGGAGCCTCGCCCTGGCCCCGCCCTCCCCAGGGAGGCCCTAGCTCCGAGCTCCCTGTTTCTGGGGCATTTGGTGATGGGCGTTGGCTGCCTGTGGAGGGGGTTAGAAAGCCTGAAATCCAGGGTGCAGAGAGGCAATGAGAGAGGAAGATGGAGGCCTTGGGGCCAGGGCTGAGCCTGGAGTCTTAGAAGAGGACAGAGATCAGAGAATTAAATGGGTGGAGATTAGGATACAGCTGGTGGGGGCCTTTCTTCTTCGGTGCAGGACTTTGCCAGGGTGACCAGGGCGGGGGGCTGATGGAAGCCAGTGCCCAGCAAGCTGCGCTGAGTGCAGTGGTTGACGCCCCTGGAAGGAAGAAGCTGCGATGTGGTGAGGTGGGACAGTCTTCTGCGGCTTCTCTCTCCTGGGCAAGGAAAGGGGTAACTGGAAAGAAAGGCACCGGCAGCCACGAGGCGCAGCCACGGCTTGCCCAGCCTGTGCTCTGCAAGACCTGGAGGAGCCCAAGTCCTTCCCACAGCTTGTGGCCTGCAGGTGTCCTTGTTCTGCCTGGCTTCAGGGTGCCCTGGCCAGCCAAGAAGCACTGATCATGGTGACCATGCAGCAACCAGGCGTCACCCCAGCTAGAACCCCACCTTGACCACTGGCCACCCACCTCCTAGCATCCCCACTGGCCTGGAGCAGGTTCTGGGGTCCCATCCCAGTGACCACATCACCCCTCCCTGTTCTTCCCTCCTCTAATCCAGGCCCTTCCAGGCCACCTCTTCAACTACCTTGGCCTCCAGGCCTTTCAGGCCACCTCTTCAACTACCTTGGCCTCCAGGCCCTTCAGGCCACCTCTTCAACTACCTTGGCAGACCATCCCAGGCAGCAGCTTTCAGGGATCAGTGACCCAAAGAGTCCTTCCCCCACTTTGACACTGCCAACATTTCCTCTCTATTTCTAATGTAGATGACCTGGATAAAAGGTTCTGAGAGGTTCTGTAGCAAATGAACACATTTAACTGGGGCTGATGCAGCATTTCCTAAATCTATTTGAACCCAGGATCCTTTATCCTCTAACACATTTTGAGAAAAGCTGGTGAAAGTGTAAGTCCCACCACTTGTTCCCTCAACACTTGAGTGTCTCCTTGGGCCTGCCCTCAGCACCAAACAGGCACCCATTTGGCTGCCCTCATTCAGAACACAGGCCTCTGGCTTTCTTCTCCCTGCCAGAGCTCAGCCTGGTGCCCTGGCCCTGACACAGGCCTGTGGCCTAGCTGTCACCGTCCCTACACACACCGTGTTGTAGGCCTCCTTGCCCTTGCTTCAGCCCTGCCGAGCCCAGGTGCCCTCTCCAGACTCTGCTTCCATCCAGGGGATTCTAACTCATAATGAAGGCGAAGCTTGAACTAACTGCTCGTCTCTTCCAGGCAGCCGCCGTGGCCTCAGCCAGGACGGCTCCTCCTGTGGGTGCTGCTCCTTCCACACGGTCTTGTCAGCAGAGGCCTGAAGTTGTGCTGCATCCTCAGTGAGATATGGGAGTCAGAAGGAAATAAAAGACAATAAAAATAAATGAAGTAAAAGAGCCAGAGAGGAGAGGGGAGGTGTGTCCTCCAGTTTTGTGAGACACTTTGGAACACACAGGCCAGTGTGGAGGGTACGATGGCGTGGCCTCCCGCGTCTCCCTGGCCAGCTCTGCAGGCGGGGAGGCCCCTGGGTGGCCAGGACGAGCCTGCTGGTGCTGGGGGCACGGCAGTGCCCGATGCTGGCACGGGCCACGTGGAGGACACTGAGGGGACATTTGCCGCCTTCCGGCGCTGCAGACATCGAGGGACGAGGAAGCAGGGGCAGGAGGCTCTGAGCCACATCCGCCTCTGCGCTGCCCGCCCCTCGCCGCGGTAAAGGCCTGGGGGAAGGCCCCAGCTTGTCCTCCCATCACGGCTGGGGAGCCCCACTCTCCTGGGTGGCCCTTCCTGAAAATGAGGACACAGTGGTCCTGATGTCCTCCCAGCAGTCCCCTCTCCCAGTCCGGGCCCCTCAGCGTTTATCCTTGGAGCTGCTGTCATGTGCACCAGGAGGGTGGCCCCACCCAGCCCCAGCATGTCCCCAGGAACCCGGGCATCATGGGCAGCGGCGTGAGAAGGCCAGCGTCACGTGCCCTGCGGCCGGCAAGACCTCCCCACCAGGGGAAGGGCTCCTGGAGCCGCAGGCCCAGTCTTACATGTCTGGATTCCCTGTGTCCGCCCCAAACCCGCCCACATAAGTTGGCCCTAAACCCTGAAGAAAGGTAAGTACTCAGCAAAAAATAAAGGTAACTCTGCTCAGTGCTTCTCTGGGCCTTACAAACTGTGGGCACCCTTGATTACGGGCAACCACAAGCCACATGGCAACTCCCAGGGCTGGCGCTTCAGAACCCGAGTGGGGCGATCCCGACCCGACCTCTGTTCCCGCCTCGCTCAACTGGAGGCAGCGGCGGGGCTTAGTCTGTGTCTTTGCCAGGGGCATGAAAACCTTGCTTGTCTCAGGGGCTTCTGGAAACATCAAGAACATCGCCAGCCACGTGTGAGCTCACACTCTGAGAGCTGCCACTACGTGCAGGGACCTAAGGGCCACGCTTCAGAGGCAGCTGGCCTCCTCTGCAGGTGGACCATCTGCCTGACGTCACTGGAACTGGGGCAGATGTTCTCCTGGGCAGTGGGGACGAGGGCAGCGTCCTTCCAGCAGAGCGCCTGCCCCACACAGCCTGAGAGGCTGACGCAAGGCAGGCAGAAACAGAATGTCCCTGGCCTTCTCCGGCCAGTGGAGGAGGACTGAGAAATGTGTCTGGCATCGGCGCGGCAGAAGAATACATAAGTAGCCAATTCTTTTACTGGAAAAGAAATGACCTAATCCACCAAGCTGGCCTGCATCTTAACGGGAAGAGCACGTGGCAGGGTGAGTGCGGTGGAGGGGAAGGCCAGCAAAGGGCCTGACCGGTGCCCACGTGGGAGGTGGTGGCAGAGCCCCTCTGAAAGCAGCAGTGATTCTGCAAATTCCACTCTTCAGGGCCAAGAGCCCCCCCATCGGAGTCAAATGCATGCAAGAAGGAGTGAGATTTAAAGTAAGAGCAGCAAGCCAGCCTGGACTCAGGGACCTGCCTGCTGTCTGCCCTTCCAGATGAGAGAGCAAAGAAAGGTTCCATGATGACAAAGCTCACCTGTGTGTTCTACAGAGACTATCCATCTATCTTTTTTCTTTGTTATGCCAATAATATACATTTCTCACAAATAAATAAGCAAAAGGGAGAAATAGAGACCCTCATAGCCCACACACAGATGTCCTGTTTGTTGGATGCACAGGGAGCACACGGGGCTGTGCTGGGCTGAGGCTGGCATTTCTGACAAGCTGCTGGGTGGTGCAGAAGCTGCTGCTCCAGAGACCACACTTTGAGTAGCAAGACCCTGCCAGGTGTTTTTAAACATATATGTGTGTACATTTTTCTTCTAAATTATTCTAAAATAAAATATATATTATTTTATAATATGATTCAATGCAATAACTTATACTTAATATGACTCTTTTTTCCACATCAGAAATATATATCAATGATAGCATTTCAGTGGCCACCCAGAATTCCACTGTGTCTAAGTTCCGGAATTTATTTACCCAGTCCTCATAGTCAGACACATAGATTGTTTTCAACTTTTTTGTATTTCAAATAGCCCTTGCAAAGACCAACCTGCCAGCTAAATCTTATCATACATCTTTAATTAATTATTTCTTTAAAATTTTAATGAATAAAATTAATGACATGGATAATTTTAAGGCTTTCCATATAGATTACTAAACTGCCCTCCAAAAAGGTTTAGCAACTAATTATGGCCACCAGCAGTATATCAATCATTCCAATTTAAACATTTCTCCAGAAAATAAAATCAAATGACATTGCTACATCAGGACAGTTATGTTTTCCTGATGAGGAAGCACAGATTCCCACTCATGTGTGAGGCACTTTTGCACCACCTGCTGCGCACACGGGTGTCCCAATGAGCACTGGGGGCATAAGCATGTGCCCAACGCAGACACAGCCCAGAAAAGAACAAAGACTTAGTAAAAATGGTTTGTTCTCCTAAATTTTCTCTGAATACTCTTAGACCCCTAGAGAATTCCTCTCTTGGAAGGACTACTGAGACCCTATATCTGTTGCCTTCGATTTGTAATAAGGCACCTGAAGCCAGGCAACAGAGTGACCTGGCAGGTCTTATGTCTCCAGCACAGCCCAGGTGGCTGGCTCTCCCTTCCTCTCCCATTTCCATCACACTTGGAACCGCTGTTCGGCTCTCTGCTGTCCTACTCATGCATTGGTGCATCCCACCGAGCACTGGCTGTGCCGGGAGAGAGGGGATGGCTGTCCAGGGCCAAGGGAGGAGGCCGTGCCAGGTGGAAGGAGGCTGCACAGGGTGGGCTGCAGCGGCCTGAGCTGGGGCAGTCAGCTGGAGAGGACACACAGCTGTGTGTGGTGCTGGTCCCAAGGGCCTGAGGACCCAAAAGACAACTGGGTGGAGTAACCTGAGCCGGATTGCAACTGCCTCTGAGTCCCCCACGGGCTGTGAGAGTCAGAGAGGGGTGCTGACAGCCACCCTGGAGGATGACAGGCTTAGGAGCCATCAGAGGTTCTGCTAGGAGGACCCATGCCTGAGGACGGGGGAGGGAGAACCAGCTGAAAGATCATGGGACACTTTGCCCTGAGTGCGTATTTTCGAGAACAGAAAGGCAAGTTTGGGGGCAGAGGTTAAGAGAATAACTTGGGACACTGAATTAGAAGTGCCTCTGGGACAGGACAGTGGAGATGTTTGGGAGGAACTGGGATGCGTGGTCAGAAGCGTGGGTCCCTTACCCTGTCTGAGTCTCAACATCCTTCTCCGTAAATAGGGACCCAAGAGGACACTGGTTGGGAGTCCTTGG